ATTAAATTTATTATTCTGAAATGACTAGGTGTTAGTGGCATTTTGTATTAAAGCAAGATGCGTGATCTTTCCCATACATGTACGAAATGGAGGCTTAAGGCAAAAGCCACTGACACCTAGCATTTTAGAATAATTGGCTAGAGTACATGTACATATATTTATATTTCTATTATGTATACAATTTGGCCAGTACTACATAGCCAAGTTGAGATAATAATCAAGGCATCACGATGATGGAGATTAAGAAAACAATTCAGGTTATCGTCAGAGTACTAACTGACTGGTTTAGAGAGAGCTATGTTCCGTTTCTAATTTGAAACGCACGTTTTAAAAGAAAATATTTATTTTGCGGCGAGACAAAAATGCCAAAAGGCCACACCATTAATAATAAAGTCCCGAATAATCGTCAGAACAACGAACAACGAACAGGAACGACTTCCTAAAAACAAATAAACAGACTCCGCCCGAGAGCCCGACGAGGCAATTAGGATTAAAATTAGAAAAGTGGAAAATTGTAATTCTCCGAGGAGGAAAATACCTTGCTTTATTACACGACACTTGGCAGTGACGTTCGAAAGATGGAATTTATGGTCGATGTAAAATATTAGAGGCCTGTGGAAAATAATAGTGGGTGGAATCCCTCGAGGGCGTAGGAATTTGTTAACAATTTTCAATTGATTGCATCACTCAATTACCATTATCGATTCTAATCAATAAACAATTGATATGCAGAAACTTTTAAAATTCTTATGATAATGTATTTTTCTAAAAATTATTTTTTTAATTCAGCTGCAATATGCCTTTATATATAAAAATAAATAGTTGTTTAAGGGTTTTTGGACTTTCCTTGTCTCTTGGTGTCATCTAGGAAAAAAAGCAAAATTTTTGAATTTTTTTTATAAAAAGATGTAATTTATGGTCGGTATAAAATATTAGAGGCCTATGAAAAATAAATAGTGAGTGCAGTTCTACCTCAAGAAATATATGAAACTTTCCTAGAAAACGTGCATTCATCACATGATAGTTTTTTAAGAGTTTTTGGACTTTCGCTGTATCTTGGTGTCATCTAAAAAAACAGCAAAATTTTTGGATTTTTTTTTTTAATTTCGTTTTTTTTAAATTCAGGTGATATCTTAACATAATCTCCCCTTGTGATATTTTATTATTTTTAATAATGTGGAATAACAAGGGTGTAGAAATTGTTTAGACAAACTTTGCTTTATTAACAATTTTCAATAGATCATAGGATCATTTAATTATCATTATCAATTTATTCAATAACAATTGGCTTTGTTAGTATATTTTTACAATTGTAAAATTTTGACATGGCATATAATTTGTACCGTTATGAATTTGATACAGCGAGTATTTTTCTAAAAAATATTTTTTTAATTCAGCTGTTATTGCAGCATTATTTTTTGTCCATCACTGAAAATATTAGAGGCCTATGGAAATTTGTTTGTTCACACGTATTAATTACAAAAGGGTCAGTCTTAGTAAAATGATATATTTGGTGCAATGTACAATTATTAATACAAGTTTAATTAATACGTTTCGGCTCTTGATTTCACCCGTCTTCGGTACATGTGAAGAAATGAAAAAGTGGTTAAATATTCATAATTCCAGTATAAAAATCATTGTTCACTTACAAAAACAACCTCAGTTTTTTTAATAAAATATTAAAGGCCTGTGTAAAGGGATTTATTATAAATAAATAGGAAATTATTTGAAAATTGGTGCAAAACCTTAAATTTAATACGTTTTGTTAAAATTTATTTTTGCAATGAAATTTAAGGAATGCAATTAAGTTAGAGATTTACATTAAATTAACATGATCGTTTTTTAAACGCTCGGAAAATGATCGCAAAGTATCATACGATGTATATATTTAATATATTTATACATATATATATATATATATATATGTGTGTGTGTGTGTGTATGTGTCAGTGTATACATTTCTTTTTCCATCAAATTTTATTACATAAACAATTTTCATTGCAGCCGTTAAATACCGTTTGAGTAAACTTATTTTTAATTTTATACTGGAAGCATAGAGTCGTACTATAAACTAAAAAAAATATGTAGAAAAAATAATAAACTAGAAAAAAATTAATTATATTATTTTTATTCTGAATATACAGAGTAAACTTTAAATATAAGTAATTTTTTAATCTTTGTCACCATACAAAAAATTGAATGAAAAACTAATAAATAAAACAGATACTAAATTTGATTTACCAAATAAGAAAACAAATATTTACATTACGAGTGCACTCAATCTAAATATTTGTTTGTCATTTAGAAGTTTTATAATAAATATTAATAAAAAGAATATAAGCAAAATACATCATATAAAAACCATAAAACTTTAATAACATTAAGTCAATGTTTGTTTAGTGAAGAGCTTTTATTTATATATATTAAATAATCTGAAATTGATATATTATTAGCTCAACTATTCAACTAATGAGCTTATTAAGGTCAGCAAATAAATTATAAATTTAGAAGTTATTTAATAATAACTTAAACTAATAAATTAAATTGTAAATAGTATGAAACATTTTTCTTGTAGTTCGGCCCTGTATTTCTAATTTTAGTGGCCCTAATGGTAAACAGTCTCGGCCGCTTATTCGCGATTTAAATCAATCGAATCGAATCGATCGATAATTGTTATCGATTTACTTAAATAGTTCAATAGTTTGATAGATAAATTCCAACGATATGAATAGCTAAATAGATAAATAATTAAGTCTACGATTTATCAAACAATCTACGGTTTTAGTTTATACAAAAAATTAATAAAAGTCTATTTTTATATCATATTTTATTTATTTACATGTCTTGTAAAAATTAACTCAATAAATTAATATCTTTGTGAATATTTGTAATATTAAATATCTATTGGTTGCTAACTAAATAGAATTAGCTAAATAATAAAAGGATAAAAAGTCAAGTAGCTAAATTAATTAGCTTTTCAGTTATATACTTACTTTACTTATTATTGTATAATGATTTAGATAATAACTGAATACCACAGAATCTCATTAGATGAATTTGTATTTTAATAATATTAATATATTATATATTATAATATATAATCATGTATTATAAGGTGAAGCCTGAATAGAAGGTAAATAGATGATTAACTAGTAGGTATTGGTATTTTGCCTTGAGGCAAGTTGCAGGAATTTCCCGATATGCGAAATTAATTGACATAATCAATAAAAACTAAATTAATTTATGAGTGATTGAAAGTATTCGAAGTGGATTTATTACACATAATTAAAAACGAACGAACTCGGAGTATTTTCTAAAAGCAAATTTTCAAAGATTAATAATTTTTATAATTGTGCCAGTTTCGGTGGGACTTTAATGATTTAGTATATTTATTAAGACCAAGTACTCTATCGTTATACCAAGTAAATCGTCTAATTTTAATTTTAACAAACATCAAAACTTTTTTCTCAAACTTTGATGAACTTTTAAAAGTAAACTACTTGTCGTAAGGCCGTAATATTTCAATAAGTTCTATAAGACCATGATATATATCACAAAAAAAGTTCTATGAAAATCGACTGATTTTTTTTTCAACAGTTAATTACAAGATTAACGGCTCGGTAGATTTTCACCTAAAATTATTCACTATCATTTCCAAGTAATATCTTTCAAAAAGTTTTTGATTTTTTAAAATCGATGCTGTAGTATGAGCTTAAATATGGACGGAAAGATTAACACTTTTTTTCCAAATTACAAAGAAACGGGTCGGCAGATCGTCGCACAAAACTGACAAACGATAGTCCTCATCGAGATACATTGAATGGCTTTTAAATTTTTGAAACCAATCCAGCCGTTTTCGGGAAAACGTCGATTTACGGCAAAAAAATCTATTCACATACACACACACATATACGCACACACGTACTTTTTCCAAATTTGGTCTCATTCGATTCAGAATGTCTTGAAACGTCGAGAAAACATAAAATCAGCAAATCGGTTTTTTTTATGAAAACAAACTTCTCCTTAGGGAAGTTACTGAATAATTTGTGAATGATTGAAGTTTCTATATTATACTATATTTCCGAGTATCTGAATAAGCAATTGCTTGAATTATCTGTATACACCTAAGTCTGTTTTTACACGGTCTTTTTGTACACGGTTTTGATATAACACGGTTTGAAAATTGAATATTTTTAATTTTTTTACACGATTTTATTCCATTATGCACGATTTGAAATTTTATGTATTTGAAACACTAGCTTAAAGATTTAAGTGAATTCCCTTTTAGCGCGTACAAACAATTTTTACTGGTCAAAGCAAATGTGAATAGCATTAATTTAGGGGAATTTATATTACTTTTAAGATTAGAGTGCATATCTTTTTTATCATTAATTACTATGCTTGTGAAAATAATCATTATATATTATATTTGATTTAATAATAATAAACATGAATTCTTGTTCTTAAAAATTCTTGTTTTTCACTAATTTTAATAGGTTTTAGAGATTAGGAACAAATCACCCATTTTTGTATAAGATCGATGTCTTTTTTTACACGGCTTCTTCTGGAACCAATCTACCTAAATAGACAATTGCTGAAAAAAGTACTTCAATGCACAACTATCTAGCTCATAAAATGGATAGAAAGCTATCTTGCAACATACCTACTAAACACATGAGTTTCTTCATTAGATAATTTTTTTTGTTAAGTAGCTAATTAGTTGATAGCTGCTAAGCCCCAAGAGATAACTATCGATCTAATAGAAAAGCTAAGTAGATGATTCTTTGAATTCATGAAGCTTTTCAATAGCCAAATAGCTAAAGAGACAAAAACCGAGTACTTAAAACACCTGAATAGATACGGGAACATTTGAATAGATAACCATCTGTTCAAATAGACCTGAATAGATTTCACTAACTATGAATGCCAAATAGCTAATCTCTACTAATCATCATCGTCATCTGCAACTGTTGCATCTGCTGCTAATCCGATCAGAAGAGATGGAAAGTGGCGCAGGCGCCTTCTGGTGGAGCAGAAACAGCAATGGTCAGGCCAAGAACAAAACGTGCTTCAGTCCTTCGTTCGCCGAACGCGGCTTAACATCATGTGCACCGAAGATGGTCGATGGACACGTTTCGATTTGCGCCTCTGGGTCATCGTCAGTGAATAATAGAAGTGTTGATAGACGGTGGAAAAGTTAATTGTATTTGGTGGTAGTGTGGACAAGAAGAGTATTTTTTAATTAGTTTAACAAAATGTGATTATAAACAAAGTTGGAAATAATAGTCAGTACTTTTGTAAACGTTTCGATCTGGCATTATCAAAACATATAAATGTTTGTTTGGAATATTGAAAAGGATTTAGGCAAAGAGGTGATTGAAAGTTGAAAATAAAGGCGATTGGTGTGAAAGTAAAATATTACGTCTTTTGACATGAAAATTTAAATTTAAAAAAATATATAAAAATTGTAAATTTGTTTTATACGTTTCGATCTGGCATCATAAAATCATATAAATGTTTGTTTAAAATATTGAAAAAAATTTAGGCAAAGAGGTGATTAAAAGTTGAAAATAAAGGCGATTGGTGTGAAAATAAAATATTACGTTTTTTGGCATAAAAATTTAAATTAAAAAAAATATATAAAAATTGTAAATTTGTTTTATACGTTTCGATCTGGCATCATAAAATCATATAAATGTTTGTTTAAAATATTGAAAAAAATTTAGGCAAAGAGGTGATTAAAAGTTGAAAATAAAGGCGATTGGTGTGAAAATAAAATATTACGTTTTTTGGCATAAAAATTTAAATTAAAAAAAATATATAAAAATTGTAAATTTGTTTTATACGTTTCGATCTGGCATCATAAAATCATATAAATGTTTGTTTAAAATATTGAAAAGAATTTAGGCAAAGAGGTGATTAAAAGTTGAAAATAAAGGCGATTGGTGTGAAAATAAAATATTACGTTTTTTGGCATAAAAATTTAAATTAAAAAAAATATATAAAAATTGTAAATTTGTTTTATACGTTTCGATCTGGCATCATAAAATCATATAAATGTTTGTTTAAAATATTGAAAAGAATTTAGGCAAAGAGGTGATTGAAAGTTGAAAATAAAGGCGATTGGTGTGAAAGTAATATATCACGTCTTTTGGCATAAAAATTTTAATTAAAAAAAATAATTTTAAAAATTGTATATTTTTATACGTTTTGATTTGCTATCATCAGAACAAAAAGTTTGTTTAGAATATTGAACAGAATTTAAGCATACAGGTGATTGGTGTGAAAATAAATTATTACGTCTTCTGACATTACAATTTAGATTTAAAAAAATATATAAAAATTGTAAAAACTTTTACATGCGTTTCGATCCCCCATCATCAAAAAGTTTTGCTTCAAAAGTAATTTCCTTCTAAAAGTTTTTTAGGTGATTGAGCCGATTGAGTTGATAATAAAATACAACACTTTCTGTCACTAAATTTTAAAATTTAAAACAATTAGTGCAACATTGATTAATCATGTTTCTATTAGTGTTTTTCGCCATCGTCAGTGCAAATTAAATATTTTGTTTTATTGTAACTCATAATGATTAAAAATTTCTTTTATCAAATCTATATTTTTTAAAGTTGCAAAACTGCAAATTTAAAAAAATTGGAATTTTTTTTAAAAAAAATCTAAAATTTACAAAATAGTTTACGTTGATGTTTCAATCATGTATTATGTTTAAATAATAATATTTTGTTTAATATATATTTATATATTGTTGTCAAGACATTTAAAAAAAAACTTTCATATTTTATTAAAAATAATTGATTTCAGACTAAATTTGGTAAACAATCATTAATAATTTATTTTTTATATTTTTGTCAAAATTAAAATTCTAAATTCTAATACTAATTTATATTCAGCACTAAATTTTATATAATTTTTATTAGTTAGTTTTAAATTTAATTTTTAAATAGAACAGTATTATGTTTATAATAAAAAATAATTATCTTTATATAATATTTATCAAAAATGAAAGTGATATGTATGTTTTCTAAGTTTTATTCCAAAAATGTAATTTCAACGACCCTCATTTAACTACGTTATCAGTTGAATTTAATGAATATAAAATTTAATAAAAAAAATAGTAAAAATGCATTTTAATAAAAGTGATGATTTGTTTGCTATCAATGAAAATTTGTCAACGTCCGACCCTGATAGGGCCGGATTGGATTTTGGATATGATTATTTGGAAATGTAAGTGTAGTAAATAATATATGTACATATATATATATATATATATATATATATATATATATATATATAATTTTAATTTAATGGATTTGAAGCGTCCTAAAATTATCTGATTTTTGTAAACACAAAAAATTGACATTAATTTTTAACTTTTTCGTGCATCTACATAAATAATCATAAGTATATATAATGTCAAATGAAATTTATAGAAAAATATTTCATTACATTCTAAGGTTATCTAGCTCTCTTACATTACTATTTGTTTAAGTCTAGGTAAGATAATTTTCTGGATGAGCAAAAATATTTTTATATAACAAATCAAGTTTTCAGCATCTCGCATTTATTACCTTTTTTGTTTTACTATCTTACTGAATATAAATTAATGGGGCTTTCTTTTTGTCTTAGCATTCGCTCAAGAAAAGATAACTTTGAGAAACAGACACATAAATTTTTAGATCTCAATTTTCTCCTTTATCTCACTTTAAAAAACGTAAATTTAGAGTTTAATTTTACCTTGTGTTTTGTGTGAAAAAGTCTTATGAAACAAAAGTATCCAAAAATCTCTTATTAAAAAATCTCTTAATATAGAAGGGGTTGTTTTTAGATAAAATTTCTCTTTTATAAGTAGTAACAATACTCTAAATATTTAAAAAAAAAATTTTGAATAGTCAACTAATATTTTTATATGCAACAAATGTAATATATTATAATTTTTATTTTATTTCAGTTACGACTATAACATGGACGAATCCCATAATACTTTCGCCTGGGGCGAATTGCTCCCAGCTCTAATTGTCTATGGGACGACACTAGTTTTGGGATTAGTGGGGAATTCCCTAATTGTCTACGCCACTTGCAGATACAGGTAAAAAAAAATTATGGTATTTTTAATTCTATTATTAGTATAACTAATTTGCATAACTTGCAATATTAGGTTAATTTCAAAAATTTCAACCGAAAACTCTTTGTAACATAACACTTTTTTTTTCAAAACTTCAATTAAATATTTTTATTTATTTTTGATTAAACGGACGGAAATTTTGGACCATCTCGCTCTTAGTGATATGTCGTGTTATTTAAAATTACAACCCCCTCCCTCTTCTAACAATCATTACGTAAAAAACGAAAAAATCGTATAATTTTTTTTTTTAAACAGGTAAAATAAATGCACTTGATATCTAACTAGACTACTCCCTCCCTTATGTGATTTTTTTATCAAATTTTTCCTCCCCCCTTTCCTTAAAAGCCTCACCTGATTAATGCACGCCCCTTAACATAAATTTTAATAAAAAAATTGATTAATAGTATTGAACTCTTAATTGTTCATCAAAATTCAATCCGAGAGATTTTACAGCAAAACGTGGCCGGGTTTACTGGTATATATATTAGGGTGGTCCTTTATATGGACATTTTTGAATTTTCTTGCTCCCAAGAGCTCAAATGGTTCCAAATTGATAAAAGACAATTCTTTAAAAGTTTTTGCTCTTAATATTAACTTTTAGATAGAGCGCAATTCAATCAAATTTTGTATGGAAAGAGCATGGAAAAAATTTTGAAAATTAAAAAAAACATTTTTTCATGTATAACTTAGCGACAAATGAATTAAAAGTGAAAATTAGTATCACTTTTTATTGAAATTCGACGCTCTGCAAAATTTTTAAAAAATTTTTCATGCTTTTTCCATACGAAGTTTCATTGAATTGCGCACTAACTAAAAGACAATATTAAGAACTAAAACTCTCAGAGAATTGTTTTTTATCAATTTGGAACAATTTAAGCCATTGGGAGCGAGGAAATTCGAAAATGTCCATATTAAGGACCACCCTAATATATGTATAAATATTTGTATATATATTCTTAGGTTACAATTTCATCTTATTTGAATTATATAACGCCCACTCGACACAAAATTTCAAGTTATTTAACGCTTTCGAGTATAAAAGCCATAAAGACGTTCCAATGAAAAACGTTGTGGTATAACCCGCCACCACCCTCCAAATATTTTCTTATTTTATACAAAAATATATATAAATAACTCGACATACAACCTTCTTTTCCATCCCCTGGTTTTCCCTATAAAATCCGTTTGACAAATAGCAGATGACAAGAAAAGCGGCTTATTAAAACACACAGAAATGAATTAGGAATTTTGAATTCGGAATTCGGAATAGACTTTGTAATTTATTCGAGAAAATCGAGTTAATAAAAGTTTTATATAGTGCGCAGTTGTGCTCCTGACAGGAACTTTTGTTCTTGGATAAAAGATGATTTCTATAGACTCTTTCTTATTAATAGATAATAGTAGACAATGGGGGTAGACTTTTTCAATTTGAAATTATGGAATAGATTGAAAAAGATACAGGCAGACACATATATACATATATACACAAATGTGCACATTCATTAAAGTTAACAAAATTATAACATAAACTAACAATCTTATTATTTCTAATATTGTTTTTTGTTATATTTTTTATTATCTGTCACTTATTGTTTGTATTCTACTTTATTGTTTTTCTAGTGTTATTTTTATTATTCAGAAATTTTATTTATTTTATTTATCAATTTTATTATTATTATTTGCTTAATGGAAATTTTATCCTTTATTTTGTACTCTTTTTATTTAAATTTATGTTATTATTCATTATTGCTACTAGATGTTAAATTATATAGCAGTTGTAACAAATATAGTAATTAAAAATTTATATATCAAAGTTAACAAAATCATAACATAAGCTAACATTATTTGCCTATAAGGTCTAGCCAGAATAAAACTTATTTTTATTCTGGTTTAATATAAATCGTAACTTAAACCAGCAATTTTTGCCCATGAATTCAGAACATAGTTTTATTTTGGTCCATTATACCTTTGTAAATTTATTTAACATTTTAAATTTAGTTAAGTCTATAAAATATTGTATTCCATCTGGTACTCTATTACATAGTTATAACAATTAAAAATTATCTCTATACATTTATGATATTTAATATTTATATATATGAGCTTTTCCCCATTCTTTCATTCTCGGCCGTTTTGCTAAATTGACACTTAACCTGAAACAAGGCGTCGCTCCAGGTTGAGTGCATTTTGGCTTGGCTTCTAGTGGGAAATTTCGACCAGAATTATTTATTATACAATTGTAACTAAGATAATTATGTACAGTATTTTAATTGATTTGAAATATTAAAATAATTTAATATATATGTATTATTATAATTGTTATGATTTTATAAATTTAAGAATATTTGTTATTTATTTTTTATATTTTTCAGACGAATGCGAAGTGGTACAAATGTATTTTTGGCAAGTCTAGCTTCCGCTGATTTGTTGCTGATTGTCATTTGCATTCCCGTAAAAGTAAGTTTTAGTGTAATTTTTTAAAATTTTGTTTATATATATATGTATTATATAAACCTCGTGCAAACATAACATCTATTTATCGTGTCACGATGTTATGTTACTGAACCGATTTTATATTTTATTGGCTCACCGTATACTTTTATATCCAACTTAAGTTATGAGCAATTTAAAAAATATTATTTCATTTTTGAATTATTGAAATCTTAGAAATTCTTAGAAAAAGCGAAACACTGAAATGACAGTTTCTGTACAAATCGAATTAAATTTATATAGGATTAACTTACTGTAGTTACCCCTACAGTTATAGTATTCGAAAGAAAATTGAAAATGAATTAGTTTTTTATATCTTTTCGTTTCAAATGTTTCTGAACATTTCGGTATACCTTATAGAAAATGGATGTAAGTGCGTATGTATGTGTGGGTATGTAAGTGCGGATACAATTTTTTGTCGATGATTTCGAGAACGCGGATATACTTATTAGTATGATTCGACAGTTTAAAAAAAAATCAAATTTTTCAGAAAGGTCAATTTTTTCCCAAAATTTGAAAATTCCCGAAAGTCTATTTTTTTTCAAAGTTTAAAAAAAAGATTTTTTTTCTTAAATATTAATCATTGGTATGCAAAGTTCCACCAACTTGCCTTAAGGCACGATGCCATACACCACTAGTTTTATATTCTTTTATATATATTTTTATATGAAGTTCATATCACGATGTTTGTCCTCTAAAGACTCCTAAACTACTGAACCGATTTTAAATTTTATTAGCTCACCGTGTGCTTTTATTTTCAACTTAATTTATAGGCAATATTAAAAATCTCGGTTAATATTCGAAATATGAAAATTTTAGAAATTTCAGTTAGTTTTGACAGTAGAAAACAAAACACTGTGAAAAGCCAGTGACTGAACAAATGGAAATAAATTGATTTATGATTTATATTTAATTTGCTTGTGTTCATTCGAATACGATAAGGTTGCAAAAATATTATAAATCACAATTTGTAGTCGACATATTACATTAATCATAAACCAGGGAAAAAATATTGACTAACTCAAATATTTTTTGCAAATTCAACAAATGTAACAAAAAATATAATTTGAACAGATGATGATATTAATTAATATGGTTGAAATATTAAATTATTATTAAATATCAAATTTTTTTGGTATTTAGAAATTTGAGAAAGAAACAACTAATATGAAAAATACAAAATATTACAAATAACAAATTTTAGATTTTTCTTACTGCCACATTTTAATTTTTTTTACAAATTTATGACAATTTATTTATGATAATTTTTTGATTATAATTATAGTGACTTATAAATGACTGTTAATGTTAATTTTTTAACTATAATTATAGACAAAAAAATTAACATTAAAAGTCCTAAATTTGTAGAAAAAAATAAAATGCGACAGGTATAAGAATCCTAGATTTTTAAGAAGTTCGAAAAGTCAAACAATATCTGTCAAATATCTCCCTTCCGCCTTTTTGTATTATAAACCAAGAGCAAAAAAGCGAAAGGGAGATATTTGACAACCTAATATTATGACAAATAATCTCATCTCCAAGAGTTGCAGTTTAAGTAAATTTTAAGTGTATAAAATTTATTCATTTTATTTCAATTTATTTTATAATAATTTTAGAATTCCTCATACTTCATTATTTGTTACTTCTTATCGTAACAAATACAAAATCACGTTAATTTCAAAAAAAAGCTGAAGTAAATAATTCATTTAAATAATGCATTCGCTTCTCGCCCTTGAATCTCATTAGAATCTCACTTACAATTAGTCTAACGAGATTAAACAAAAACTAATTGGATAAATTATGTTTCTATGTAAATCTCTTTGTTTTAATTGCAATTAAAAAAATCATTTCGATTAAAAGTACCTCCTTGTTACATAACAATGGGAAATAAATATTTAAATGAAAGTTGAACTTTATAAAATTTAATCTAGATTTTCTATTGCGTATCGATTTTAAATTGAAAACTATTTTTTTCTTCTATAAAACTACGTGATGTCTACACGACTTTTGTATTTTGTGAAAACTAGTCACGTTTAACTGGCATTGCGATTTTGCGAAAAATACATGATTTTCGCAAATGATTATAATTTATTTTATATTTATCTAGAATATTGATACAGACGAATGAAAATCATTTGAAGAAAAACTTGATGTGTATATGTATATATATATATATATATATATAACATTAGAAATATTATGTACTAATCAATATATAATATTTCAATAATATTTTGGAAATTATAAGAAGTTCTTCCAACCGGTACCCTAAGTCGACACTTAACCTGGAACGAGCCCTCGTTTCAGGTCAAATGCATTTTGCTGGGCTAGTTTGTTATGGGACACACAAAATTATACATAATAAAAATTTATATAATGAATCTATTTTTTTCTATTTTTGTGTGTATTATTATGTGTATGTGTGTATTTTTTCTTCGTGAATAAATACGCAAGCACTTTAATATAATCAGCATATGCCATATGCGAATTCGGTCGGTATCTCTGCATTTAATGTGTTTTATCAGCATATGCTTTTATATTTTACATATAAATATGTGTGTATATATATGTGTGTACATTTGCGTATATATAATATTTAATGGTGTATTTTTGGCATCCATTCAATATAATTCCGGAATGCGAAACATTCGTCCATTCTTAAGTTGATTTCATAAGAAACTCATAAATCAAAATATGAACACTCCATCCATCTCCATTTGATCTATTTATTTCGTCCATTTGCTTTTAATAATATGAATTTAATTATATTTAGTTTTTTGATGTAATAACATCTTATCTTGACTTGGAAGAATTTCAATTAAATTTTATCAGAAGGATATAATGTTGAAGAAAACCAGGCGAAATCTCTTGAATTAATAGATAAAATAGAAATAAATATTGTGTATATAAGATTAAATTTATTTCGAGTATTCATAACGTTAAACGGAAACAAATCTTGAAAAAAAACTTGAAAGTAAACATTAAACTTAAACAAATCACTTTTTAAGTTCTTAGATAATATTTAATAATATTTTAGATTTATCCATACAATTTTTAAAAATACTATATAAGACCTTTTTTAATAAATTTAGCAGGGTATCCCAGAACTCTCCAATTTTTGAAAAAATTGGTCTCGTTTGTAAATTATGAGTACAAACTAAGTTTTTGGTAAAATTGTGATAATACTACTATTTATTGGTCATCGTGCTCAATTTTTAATACTTTTGTTCATTTAAACTTTGGAACCGTAATTATAAATAAAATTTCTGGAACCACAGTCTAGAATAATTACACAATTACTTCAAGTTTTGAATAATTAAGACTATGAATTTAAATTTTTTTAAATCAGTCGATTTTCAGAGGCTCTCCTTTAAAAAATTTACTAAAATGTGTCGGCAAGTTTCCTTAAAACTTAAAAAATTAATTAAATCTTGAAATTTAATCAGAATTCTAAAATGGTAAAATACTTGATACTTGAAAAACCAAAAAATATGATTTTTTTAACAATAATAAAAGAGAATTTATAGTCAAAATATTACATTAATTATAAATCAGAAATGATTTATAATTAATGTAATTATAAAGACAAAAAATTGAATCAAATTTAAAAAAAAGAGAAATATGTCAAATTATTTTGAGATTCAAAAATGTGAAAAAAGCAAATAATATAAAATTTAACTGAATTTATTTATATTATCAATCGAAAATTTATATTATCAATCATAAATTTTAAAAAAATGTGACTAAACAAACCGAATATTTTTGTCAAATTACAGAAGTAATAGTGATATGTAACATTACTATAAATACACAAAATCAAATTTGAGTTATATCTTTATTATTATATAATTTAACAATAATAAATTTGTTCAAAAATAACCTAAAAAACTTTTGAAATACTTCATTTCGCTACCTTTTATATTTTTAAATTCACCTACATATATTTTTAAAGAATTCTTTGAGCAAAATCAGGGTTAGTAATGTTTTATATTAAAGTAATCTTTTTATATAAAATATTTTAATAATCTGTTACATAAAAAATGTCATGAATTCCATAAATATTTTGAAGAAGAAAACAATGGCGAAATGTATGAGAAAATATATTATTGGGAAAAATGCGTTTTGAAATAAACTACTACAGAGAAACTTTATATATATATATATATATATATATATATATATATATATATATATATATATATATATATATATTAAGAACAGCATAAAATATTCTTTTATTTTCCAATACTTTATATTCCTTTCACGTACCCCGTACTATTTTTTATTTAAAAAATCGCTTTCATCAGCAAATTTTCTTTATAAGTGCTGATCCGTTTCTTTCGGCAAAAACACAGTCTATTATCGCCAATATAAAAGATCAATAGCATAAATTAGATATATTATTAGAAAAGTTTCGTAAGAAAATATTGCACGGTGGAGGCGCCGATGCCAAATGAACTTAACGTTAAGGACTTGAGAAATTCTTTGCAAACATAGACACAGGCATATATATATACATATATATATATATATATATATATATATATATGTATTTATATATATATATATATATATATATATATAGATATATCCTAGATGACCCGACAGGCGCTATCCTGTACCCACGTCTACAATTTTTTAATATAATATACTATTTACTGTTTACCAAAAAAAATTTTTTTAAATTATTCTTCACGCCTAAATGTATATACATTTATAATATGAGCGATTTTAAATTTAGAACTGCTTTAAATAAAATGATGAGTCTCAATTCCCACACTATATTGGAAATTGATGGTCTTTTAAACGGTATAACAAATTCAGAAAGAAATTAATATATAGTATCCGCGGTAAAAGTACAATATTACCTTGGATTTTTTCACCCAAAATTATTGGTGGGACGCCCCCGGAGTCTTCAGCTCCCGCATGCCTATTTTTCTAGACGCACCCCCCCCCCCCCATATTAT